AAGATGGATTGTTTATATTCAAAAGAAGCATAGAGTGGTGGAATATAATTTAGGTTTTTAGAAAAATTTTTCTTTTTTTTTTTCTTTTATATATTTTACCTACTCATGTAGAATAATATACTTTGTGGAGTTAGAGATACTAATATTTGTTTACTTATATCTGAATATTATCCTGGGATTAGGTTTGGGAAGTCCGGGGTGGGTGGGGGGTGGGGGGTCTTTCATATAGCATTGTGTAACATTTGTGATGTTTTTTTTATGATGAAAAATAATAAAAATTTTATATTGGAGAGATGGCCTGAGCAGTCCCTAGTCAATCACTTCAAAGAAGGATTAGACAATCACCTCTCTCAGGCCTGCATCTGTCAAGCAGTACCTGATCAGCTGCAAGAATGATACCAGACAGCAGTAAGGCTAGACGTTCAGCTCGCCCGCTATAAGAAGCCTCTCCCACCTGAAGCCGAGTCGAGGCCAGAGCAACCCAAATGGCAACCACTACCCTGAAAACCTCCAACTGCTGCGGCTGCTGAAAGTCCCAGGCCATCTGCAGGCCCGCTGATCAAGTGCTTCCGATGCGGACAGCAGGGACATCGAGCAGCAAATTGCCCAGTCCCCTACCCCCAACAGCAGAGTAGACCGGGACCAGCAGCGAGAAAGAAACCTGCCCAGCAGCCACTGAGAGAGAAATCCAACTGGATTACACAGGAACCTGTTGCCCAAGTTACATCCCCCACATAGGAGGATGCCGGGACTCAGGCTGGACCTGCCCCCGCGCTATCCTCTTTCGACAGTGACGACGAAGGAGAGAACGACTCAATGGTGAGTTGACACGTCCCACCTTTCTCTCTACCTGCCAAACTCGTAATCCCTAAGACGGGGGCACAGGTAGATTTAAAAGTGCTAGTCGATTCTGGATACTCCCGGTGCGTCATTAGCTTGCCATTTGCCATGAAAATGGGCATACGAGCAAAACTGCTCTCCAAACCCGTGAGGTTTGAGCAAGCCAGTGGCTCCCTGATGGAAGGGACTTTAGTCACGCAATTAGCTGAGCCCCTACGCTTAGAAATAGGTGAGCACTGGGAGTTCATTTGCTTCCTCGTAGCTCCAAAAATGACTGAGGCTGTGATCCTAGGATTAGCTTGGCTGGACAAATGGAAGCTGTTTATCTGGTGGGAGAAGGGAATGAGGACTGTGAGGCTACCTATAGGGCCCAAGCCCTCCATTGATTCAATGGACGTTGCAGGAAATTTTAGCCCACTCAACAAGCGAGCGCACATGGCTGCCTCACCGCCACCCTAAAGATTGTTTAAGGTAAACAATGCCTCAAAGTTCTTTGAAGAGTTTCATCTGTCGGAACCATGACACTGAAGTCCTGAGCGCCGTGGAACACGTTTTCATTGAGGATATCCCTGTACTTTGCTCCATCAGCTTTCCTTCAGCCCTGACCAGTCTCCCAGTCCCTGCTGCTGAAAAACATCCACCATGCTTCACTGTTGGGATGATATTGGGCAGGTGATGAGCGTTGCCTGGTTTCCTCCAGACATAACATTTAGAACTGAGGCCAAACAGTTCAATCTTGGTTTCATCAGACCAGCGAATCTTGTTCCTCACAGTCTGAGAGTCCTTCAGGTGCTTTTTTTGCAAACTCCAAGTGGTCTTTCATGCATTTTGCACTGAGGAGAGGCTTCTGTCTAGCCACTCTGCCATAAAACCCAGATCAGTGGAGGGCTGCAGTGATGGTTATTCTTCTGGAATGCTGTTCCATCTCCACACAGGATCTCTGGAGTTCAGTCAGAGTGACCATCGAGTTCTTGGTCACCTCTCTTACTAAGGCTCTTCTCCCCTGATTGCTCAGTTTGACCAGGCGACCAGCTCTTGGAAGAGTCCTGGTTGTGCCAGACTTCTTCCATTTGAGAATTATGGAGGCACTGTGCTCTTAGGAACCTTCAGTGCCGCAGAAATTTTATTATAGCCTTCCCCAGATCTGTGCCTTGCAATAAACCTGTCTCTGAGCTCTTCAGGCAGTTCCTGTGACCTCAGGGCTTTTGCTGTGTTGCAGTATGAATTGTCAGCTGTGAGGCCTTCTATAGAGAGGTGTGTGCCTTTCCAAATCATGTCCAATCAATTTAATTTACCACAGGTTGACTCCAGTCAAGGTATAGAAATATGTCAGCAATGATCAAGTAAAATGGGAGGCACCTGAGCTAAATTTCAAGTGTTGCAAAGGGTCTGAATACTTATACCAATGTGATATTTCAGTGTTTTTCTTTTTAATAAATTTACAGACATTTCTAAACTTCTGTTTTCACTTTGTCATTATGGGGTACTGAGTGTAGATTAATGAAGTTCAATAACAGTAGAATCAGGCTGCAGCATTGACAAAAGTGGAAGGGGTCTGAATACTTTCTGAATGCACTGTAATTCCTAAGTACTTTGCTGCTTTCCTTTCCTGTTTTTTTGCTGCAGTAGCCATGCTATCCTGGCAGCAGAGCCAGCTCCCTATTGACTTGCAGATAGATGATTTGTTTGCACTGCCATAAGTAACAGTAAACAGAGCAGGAAGGGACCTTGGAGGTCTTCTAGTCCAATGCCCTGCTCAAGCAGGAGACCCTACACCATTCCAGACAAGTCGCTGTCCAGTCTCTTCTTAAATTAAAGCCTTCAGTGAAGGAGCCCACAACTTCTGAAAGCAAGCCATTCCATTGGCTAATTGTTCTCACTGTCATGAAATTTCTCCTTAGTTCTAGGTTGCTTCTCTCCTTGCTTAGTTTCCATCCATTGTTTCTTATCTTGCCTTCTGGTGCTTTGGAGAATAGATTGAGCCCCTCTTCTTTGTGGCAGACCCTGAGATATTGGAAGACTTCTATAATGTCACCCCGGTCCTTTTTTCACTAGACTGGATAAACTCAATTCCTGCAACCATTCTTCATTTGTTTTAGCAGCCTCCAGCTCCCTACTGTAGTATTGGATTCTTATTCCTAGAAGATATCCAGCTCCAAGTTTGAACTCATGGCTATAAATGTAAAGTCATTTGTTTTTAAATTTGGTTTTCCTATGTTTATAAGAGGAAACGAAGGATATGCTTGGTTTTGTACATGACAGATTTTTAAAGTAAGGTGTTTGCTGTTGTGAAATATCCTAGAAAGTTTATGGTCAAATACCAGCTTTGTCTTCCAAAAATAAAAAAGGCCTCTCTTTGTCTTAAGTTATATGAGTCTCCCAAAGCTTTTATCTAGCTTTATGCCTTATTACCCTCAACTGTCTTTTTAAAAAAATAAAAATCACAAAATGTTACCTATTTCTGAGCTACAAGACAGCTAATTGCATTTGGGGAGATTAGCTGGGGCTCAAAACATGACCTAGGTTCAACAATGGGAGGGGAGGAGAGCTCTCCTTGGGTCTCTCTTCATTCCAGTAGAAACTTTGGAAACAATAGTGTTCTCCCTGAAGGACCAGATACACAGTATGGGGATCCTTCTCAACTCACTGCAACTCTTTGAATAGGCAGATGGAGGCTATGGTGTATCAGTTGCATCCTTCCTGGAGAATTGGACCCTGGCAACAGTGATGTACATGCTTGTTTACCCCAGGTTATATTATTGTTTACCCCAGGTTATATATACTACATAGGTCTGCCTATGAAAACTACTTGGTTGGTCCAAAAATGCAGCAGCCCACTTGTTAACAGACAAGTGTCATTGTTCACACATAAGTCCAGGGCTTTGAGTGGCTACCAAAAGGCTTCAGAATGGAATTAAGAGTCTAGGCTTTGAGTTTTAAAACCTTATATGATTGGTACCCAGGTACCTTAAGGACTACCCACTTGAAGTGGATCTCACCTGACCAGTACATAAATCTCACATTTTGGTTTTTTATGTGCACCACCATGAATTTATGCAAGATGCGGCATGAAAATGTACTGAATTTAAACTACTTTCTCTTTCTTTCAGTAGGTTTGAATGGGGACCTGATTCTGCTGAAAAGCTTGCCAGCACTAGCTACCAAAGTCGACATCTTCTTGAATTTTCTGCAAGCAGGCCTCAGGAAACTGATGGCAAAAATGAGGAGTAAGCATAAACCTTTATACTTTAGTGTTTTCCAGTTTGCAATATTCTACATATGCAAATGTAACAAATGGCTAACGTAGTGCATATTTCTACTTAAGGGTCCATAATTGGTTTTTTGAAAGATACATAACTATTTTGACCTGTTAACATTCCTCTCTGTCTCTGGTGCACATATTCTGTCTCAGAAATGCTGAAAAAGTAGCAAGACATGATTTCCCAAGTATTCCTGAGGCTATCAGTACTATGTGTCTTATCCCAAAATCTGATCTTACAAGTTGGGGAGTATTTGGGCTGTGAAATTCCTGTTCTCACCACTTAACAGAAAAGTGCTGTCTTTTCCAAGCAAAATTGATATCTTGCATAAAACTGATCTTGCCATAATTCTGTATGTATTTGTCAGATCTAAAATATGTGTTAAGAAGCTTCAACTGCTACAGAATGCAGCAGCAAGTTTTAACAGGAACTGCTCAATACATATTTTTAAAATAAAATAAAGTTGCATATTATTTGTTATTATGTTACTGAGGTTTATTTTGAATGGTTCCACTGAGCATCTGACCTTGCTGCTATCTAGAGGAAAATATAAAAGGGGAGAGTGTAGTCCTTGACTTATGACCACAATTGAGGTCAAAATTTCTGTTGTTAAGTGAGACATTTGTTAAGTGACGTTTGCCCTATTTTACGATCTTTCTTGCCACAACTGTTAAGTGAATCACTGCACTTGATAAGTTAGTAACCTGGTTGTTAAGTGAATCTGGCTTTACCATTGACTTTGCTTTCAGAAGGTTGCAAAAGGTGATCACATGACCTTTGGACATAGCAACGGTCATAAATATGAACCAGTTGCTAAGCATCTGAATTTTGATCATGGGGATGCTGCAAAAGTTGTAACTATGAAAAACGGTCATAAGTCACATTTTTCAGTGCGGTTACTAAATGAACTGTTGTAAGTTGTATTTTGTCTGGGGGATGAAAGCTAGTCTATAGGTATGAAAACTAAGATTCATTTAGTATAAAGTAGGGGTTTGGATTCTGTGCTTTTCTAATTGTTGTTGGGCTACAATCATAGAAATGGTCAGTGTAAAAGAACTTGGAGTCCAGCAGTACCAGAAAGGCCTCCTGTTCCTCCCTCTAATGCTTTGCTCTGCAAATGGACAAATATATTTCAGCAAAAATCTCTTCTAGGTTTAGTTTATGTGTGTTTCTTACAAATGTTTGTATTCCAGCATCTTGCTGTCTCCCTTAATTTTTATGCAACAATTTTGTTTTTCCCAGTTGGATCAGTCTAGCATTATTGGAAACTTTTGAAATCTTCTGAGTTGTAGGCTTTTTCCATTCCAAATAGGCCTGTTCTGAAGCATTTTGTTCAAATAATCAAATCCAAAAAGGGGCATTCAAACTGCTGGAACCTTTGTCTGGAAAATAAACTTATTATTTTCTTTGGATATAGCAATCATTCTATGTAGAGAACTTGGAAAAACATTGGGAGTTTTCTTTCTGCTCTGAGACAGATTTTGTATCAATTTATAGCCTGGAAAACAGCTCATCCTTAGAGCCATGATCTAAGAAGACCTCAGGACAAGTCTGGGCTTACTGGCATATAATTTTGGAATGGGAATTTATTTTACTTTTATCTTAATATGATTTTTTTCTGTTAGTAGGACTAGCACAGAGTTTAAGCTGGATATATGGACCAAAAGCCAGTGATAAATCCTGCTCTTAGTTGCCAAGGGAATAAGGCAGGGTGAATGTAGAGTGATTTTATTGTTTGTTTCCCCCAGAGCTTTCCCTTTCTCTGTCTGAGCACATTGTTCTAAGCAGTTCAGAAGACTAGGCCCCAGGCTGGGAGGACGATGAATTTTCTGTAACATACTGCGATAGAGAGAAACAGTATTGTTTAGTTGTTTTAATTAAGTGAAGAAAGAAATTTTCCTCTTGGAAAGTGAATCTGTGCTGAATTGCTAAGGAATGTTCATGGTTTGAAACAGAGGGTTTTCTCTTCCTATCATATTACTTCACAGAGAGTAATAATCCAGTAGCATTAATGCTACAGAGGATCAACACTGTGCATAACAGTGGAGAAAACAAGATACAGTATGTTCATAAGAATTTACATTGTATATGAATATGTGAAATGTTGGCTTCATATTTACAAAAATAAAGGAACCCAGCAAAACCTCTTGCAGGAGGAGCGCTCAGCTATTTGTAGGGTGAAAAGCTATATTTGAACTTTTAGTGACAATTTGGAAGCATACCTCAAAACATAGTCGGGCCAAGATGAAAACTAAATCATGTTTAATTTTAAGCAATATTTCAATAAAATTAAATTAATTAGTATATGTATTAAATCATTTTAATTTTATTATGTTGAAACATTTGAAAGTACTTTTTGGAAGGAAGTTGGTAGATTGGAAATTGTGTACTATTCTATTATAGTATGGATAAAACAAATACAAAGGAAATGTGTCACAACAGCCATACAAGGAGTATTTATCAGAGAAGGAATATATAAGGAAGTAGTAACATCACCTCATACTCTTTTTGGAAAATGAAGAAGTGATTGAGGGGAAAGGAAAAAAAAAAAGCATGCAAAAATCTGTTTAAATGTTCCAAAAGGCTACCATCAAATATTTAATGTTGTTTAAGATCTAAATCCAACACTTTTTAAACTTTACATTTCCCTTCTGATGCCTCTCAGTGTTATGGAGAGAACGCATATAAGTTCAGGTTCTTGGCATTCTTTTAAGCTAGATTGTTTTGTAGATGTTTCATTATCTGTCAGCTCTTGTGATTATGATGTTACCTAGCCTGGTTATGGAATGACTGCAAGAAAGCAAGCAAGCTCAGAGAGCATCGGGAACACAACAGCTTCGTTTGCTTCAGGCAATTCAGGTAGTCCTTGACTTACAACCATTCATTTAGCGACCATCTGAAGTTACAACAGCACTGAAAAGGGTGACTTATCATTTTTCACACTTATGCCTGTTGCAGTATCCCCATGGTTACGTGATCAAAATTTGGACTCTTGGCAACTGGGTCATTTATGACTGTTGCAGTGTCCTGTGGGTCATGTGATCACCTTTTGTGACCTTCTGATAAGCAAAGTCAATGGGGAAGCCAGATTCATTTAATAATCATGTTACTAACTTAACAACTGTGGCAAGAAAGGTCGTAAAATAGGGCAAAACTCACAATAACTGTCTTGCTTAACAACAGGCATTTTGGGATCAATGGTTGTAAGTCGATGACTCCTGTATTACCCCAGACACGTCAGTGTGACATAAGAGTGCAAACTCCACTTGTGGCTCAGAAAATCCCTTCCTATGGGTGGCTACGTGAACATTTCTAGAAGAATAATTCTTCTGATCCTGACAATTTTTAGTGTGGCTGTGGTTGCTGTCTGGTCCCTCAATTCCCTACAATGATTTCCATTGATTGTTTGCAAATGTTCTTGTTGGCTTCTTGCAGAAGTTTACTTTAGGTATTAAGTAAATATTCACTTAATCATCTTCTGATTGAAATTTGGCTTTTTCAGCTAATAGGTGATTTAGACCTAACAGGGTTATTCATTTCCAAGATAGCCACAGATGTGCCAAAAGCATAAATAGCTGAAAATGTTTTGAAAACAGGCAGCAAGATGAGATTATTTGTAATGTCTTTACAATTAAAATTCTGTATCATAAACTGTGCACAGGCATGAATGTTGAAAGAAAGCCAATATTGTTTATGTTTGAACTTGCTGAAACAGAGGCCTTTTGGGGTAGAAGGGCTTGGGGAATTTCTCATTCTGTTTTCCTCACACGTGTAATATTAGCATACTTCATTGCTGAATTTGTAATATTTTGGTTGAGTTGATTTGACTATCTATACCAGGGGTAGTCAACCTTGGCTCTTTTATGACTCGTGGACTTCAACTCCCAGAATTCCTTTGCTGGCTCAGGAATTCTGGGAGTTGAAGTCCACGAGTCATAAAAGAGCCAAGGTTGACTACCCCTGATCTATACCTTGGCCTACATTTTAGATTCCAGGTGCTGGTGGAGATAAGAGTTAGTACTTCACCAACAGCTTCTCTTCTGTTTAACATAGCCAACACACTCTTCTGCTAGCTAGTGCATCTGTTTTGCATCTTTTTCTTCTTTTTGCTGTGCTTGATTCTGAGAGTTCATATTGCCATGCTGTGGTGTATTTCTTTTATACCCACTGTCTCATTCTTTTCTTGACTATGTTCCACCTAATCCCAGCTCTGATTCCCCCATGTTCCATTTGACTGAGCCTGCCCTTCCTAAGGTTCCAAGAATTCTTGTGTGGCCATACACGTGGCTGCTTCTTACTCCAAATTTGTAGCCAGGCATTGTCCATTTCTCTTCTTGCTCTCCCTTTTGAGTTTTTGTATCCCTCCAACTGCTTCTTGTTAATTCTCAGTTATTTCAGGCTTGTATACTGACTTCTCGTAAACTGTAAGAATTGCCCTTGCCTTGCTGTAACTCACACTTCTTTCTTCCAAACGTCTCGCTTTTCAGGTAACAGTGAAAAACATTTCCAAATCTATTTTGGGGGGGGGGGGGTTGCCAGTTTTAAGTGCCAGATTCTTGAAATAGAAATAGTTGGAAATGAGAGTAATAACTCTTCTGTAGGATTTTCAGCTGCAAGGGTTTGTGCAGTAAACATAGGCACATGCTTTGCATAATCATAGTGTTAGAAATGGGCTCATCTTCCCCCAAAATGTAGAATCCATTAGAACATCTCTGACAGACAGTCATTAAAGGTTCTGTTTGAAGATGTTCGGCGAAGAACTCTGCACTTTGTACAGCATTCTGTTCCACTGGATGATACCTCACATATTCACAAAGTTGTAACCTGAACCTACTTCCTTAGAGGTTTTTTAACCAATTGGTTCTGGGTGGTACCTCCTGCAGAAATAAAGAATAAGCCCACTCCTTCTATGTGACTGTCCTTCAGGTATTTGAAGACTGCCATTATATTTCCCTCTAATTTTCTGTTCTATATAGGCTGAACATTCCCAGATGTTTTAAAGGTTCCTCACAGGGCCTGGTTTGAAACCCTCACTATCTTAGTAGCCTTCCTCTGAACTTGTCATGATTCTTTTCAAGTGATGGTGCCTCAAACTAGATACAGTGCCCTTAATGGGGTTGACCAGGGCAGAATAGGCTGGAACAATTACTTCTTGTGTTCTGGATTTTGTGCTCCGTTAATGCATCCCAAAATACCATTTACTTTTTTAACAGCTGTAATACATGGCTGCTTCATATTTAACTGGTGAGTACTCTCACAGAGTCCTTTCACATGTATGTACTGTTGCCAAGATAGGCTTTCCCCATCCTTTACTATCTAGATACAGAAGTATATCCTCCTCCTTGTTGAAATCCATCCTATTTTTTCAGGCTAATTCTTTATGTTATTTTTATAAACTTTTGTCTTACATCAACAGTGTTACTCCCATCCCAGTTTGTGTCATTTCCAAACTTGATACAAAATCTCTTAAGTCATTGGTAAAAATCCTAAACTCACTCAGTATTTCCAGCCAAGAGGGGCCATTAATGAACATTCTTTTTGTGTGGTAATTCAGCCAACTGTGAATCTATTTAACTGTGATATCAGCTGATTCATATCTTATCATTTTATGAAGGAAAATATTACGAGGCACTCAGTCATATGTTTTTACTGAATGAACAAAATACTGTATTTTGTATCTTACTTGATTTTACTTTATTTTACCTTTACCTTTATCTCATTTGTCGAATCCTTTTATTAGTTTCATAGATACAATTCTTTTTTTAATTTAGTGTTATTTTAACATAGATGTACTATGTTAAATATTTTTAAAAATTATTTCCTAGATATAAGCCCTTGGTTTCGGATAACAAAGCACTCATGGTAGTTACTGAGGAACCAATAATATATGTTCCTCCTCCACCTTGCCAACCATTTATCAACCGGACAGAATCACTCAGGTAAGCTGCTTGCTTATAAATAGTAGAGATGTTAGTGCCAGATAGGCATTAGAACCTAATGTTTGACTTCCTCAGTATACAGTTCCCCATACCTATCTGTCAACAGATGTCACATTGGATGTACAAATGAAACTGGTTGGTATCTTAATGATTAAAAGGGATATATAATTAACAAGCCAAAAGAGCAACCTGGATAATTTTCCTATATTGGATTTATTAAAACAGACTTGTTAAAGTTTTGAACAATTTTGTGACAAGAGACAGAGAAAAAAATGAAAAGAAATCTAATTCTAGGGCGTTATTTAAAATATCAAGATAGTTAAAAGTAAAAGGAAAGGATATTAAGTTGGTTTATTGATCAAGGATAAAGCAGACATGTTATCTCTGTTCATCTTTAATGGACTTTTGTTAATGAGGACTGAACAACAAGATCTTAAGGATTAAAAAGAAAAGGGATGAGATATGGGAAGAAGAGATTAGTGTTGTATTTTAAGAGAAGGAGATAAGTTTCTAAAATTGTTTATACTGTACTGTGATGAACGGGGAAGTCATTTCTTTATTTCTTTTTCTTTAGTATATTCTTATTGTTTCTTTTCTATTTCTATTTCTTATTTTCTTTAGCATATTCTTATTGCTTCTTTTCTATTTTTACTTCTATTTTCTGAACTTTCTATTTTTCTCTATTGTATCTTTCTTAGTTTTCATTTTTATCTTTTTAATTTTAATATTGAATAAAATTACTATATAAAAAGAGTGTCCTCTCATGCACATTATGCATTTCAGGTAAATTCTGTAACATTGAAAGAATATTAGTCAATACAATGAGTTAGGATAGCTAATTAATGGATTATTTGTTGATGAGTTTGCAACTCCCTGTCCATTTCAGTGCCATAGTTCAAAACAAAAGTGTTTTATAGGCATCTGTACTGGAGTTATGTAGTACATTCCCAATATCATTTAGGAATAAGCAAATCTACTTTTTTATATCTTACCAATCTTCACTTATTCTAAGCAGGCACAAACTGTTCGGGAGATCCAAATTCAAATATTGAAATCTGATGTAGATACACTGAGACATTATTTCCGAGATTCTTACTTAAGGGTATAAACAAGAGACCAAGCTGAATATGAGTTCAAAATCAATGCTTTTAAGTTCTTATGGAGAAGGTTGTCCTTGAATATATTTTTTTCATTCCTCTCATCATTCTGTCTAATTTCCATGTTATATGTACAGGTTAAGTCATGAACTAAGAGGTTGGGTACATAGACACGAAGCAGAAAGAACAAGATCAAGAAGGATGTCAAATAATCAGCAGCAAAAAGAGCAAACTGTCCAGGTAGGTTTGTGGAAGCATTTATATTTTGTGGCAGCAGGGGGAAGAGAAGGAGGAAAAATAAGGTCCTCAGGCCCAGAAGATCAAAAGAGAGAATGCGTATACTGGGGAATGGACAAAATTCTGATACTGTATTACAGGGTCCCTACAAAGACACTAGAACACCAGGAAGAGTTAAAACCAAAAAAGTTTTAATAAATATTTAAAAACCTAGCTTTCGTTGAATATCTATCAACGTCATCAGGGTGTATGTTGGTCAGTGGGAGGGCCCCTTTATAGATGAAGTGATGTTAACGCCCCGACTCATAGATCTTGTTACTGGGCCCAGCCGGCCATTCAACTCTATAGTTGNACTCTCGAGTATTCCTTTTTCCTTGCTCCCAAGGTGGATGTGTCTTTAATCATGTTGCGATCACTTATGGCTCTCAGACTTATGGGGTGTTCTTTCCCATTAGGTATTTTAGGGTGCCTTATATCTGTGGGTTCACCACTCTCCCCACACTCTCTATGCCCATGTCTGACTTCGTTCTGGTCAGCTGTACTTCTCACATTCCCAAGCTGCTCTCCCATTCTATTCTTATATTTCATATCTACACTTTCCTTCTCTTTCCCCCCACTCGCTCCATGCCCGTATCTATTACTATCATTCTCTCTGCTGTGACGTACTGCGTTTTGTCTTTTCTCCTCCCCCATAGTTTCAGTGACTGCGCTTCGTTTGCCCTCCCCCTCTTTGGAGCTCTGTTTGGAGCTCTGTCCGATTGTTCTTCCATCGGTCTTTCCTCCCTCTGTACTTGGTCTTAGCGCTATGCTTCGGGAGCGTGTGATCGCTCCCGGGGCAGGATGATTATTATCATTCTTCGCTATAGGCTCTCCTCCATCGGTCGCTCTTCCTTCCGTATTAGTCTTAAGCGCTGCACTGCGGGAGCGTGTGATCGTTCCCCAAAGGGGGTGGCTGCAGTCGTTCTTTGATGTAGTCGCTTCTCCGCCGATCATTCTTCTTTCCACAGCGGTCCTAGATGTCATGCCATGAGGATATACAGTTGTCTCGGGAGTGGGGTGGCTGTAGTCCTTCTCCAGTCCAAGCATTCCTCCATAGATCGTTCTTTTCTTTACGTGGGCCTTTGGCATGGCGTCTTGAAAACCCATGCACGCTCCAGAGGTGGGGCAGTTGTATTTGCTCTCTTTGCATGTGTCCTCTAAGACATGTGGGGTTCTTCCTAATTGTGTACAGTGCGTCGGGGGGTATGGAGAGTTCGATACATGTAAGATGTTACTCACTCCATATGGCAGTTCTTTCCGGTGGTAATCTCCTCGTGCGTCGCCGTGTGATGGTAACAATATCTCTTCTGTACTCCCCATATGGCTTAAGGAGCCCTTGTCATCGTGAACTGGCTTTTTAGTGCCGATGGTTTGCTCACTGATGGTAGACTCCTTGGTGTGTGGAGAGCGCCTATCTACCCATGCAGCGTGCAGGTTTCTAAGTCGTTGTCCATTATTCTCATGATTGTCAGTTGTACGTGACAGATGGAGGGTCTCTCTCTCCTCAATTTCTCCTTCCCATTGATGGACCATATCATTGGGTCGTTCCCTTCGTGGCAGTTTAGTTTTTCTCTCCCATGCTCTCAGCGCTAGATGTGCGGGGCACAGCTCTATATGTCGATTGATAGATTTATCGTCCGAGAACCAAGCCTCTTTTAATAGTCTACCACTCCTTGTACTGTCGCTGGCAATCACCCTTACGTCATTGAAATCAAATCTATGTCCAGTTTCTGCCATATGCGCTAATATTTGAGAGTACTGCTCTCCTCTCTTTATGGCCAGTTTGTGTTCATGGACTCCATAATTTTATGGATGCTCGCGCTTTGGACTTTGCAGCGGCGCTGGAGCCCACTATGCACCGTATTAGAGTGGGGGAGGAAGTGAAGAGCTCAATTAGACAAGTAACAGGGTTACTTATGAGCCATAGATATCATCAAACCTTGTCTGTAGTAGAGTTAGAAGCCGTGAACCAACTCAAAAAAGACGATACCATCCTTGTACTGCCAGCCGATAAAGGGAGAGCCACCGTAGTCATGGATAGGGAGCAGTATTTGAGCAAGGCGTTAGATCTACTTCAAGATACTACAGCCTACAGAGCCATAGATGGTGACCCCATGACCACCCTCAAAAACAATGTTAATAAAGTGCTTGGCGCTCTGAAGCATGCTAGAAGGTTGGATGAGACCACTCTCACAAGAGTGCGTCCCAGTGACACAGCGGTAGCCAGGTTTTATGGGCTACCGAAAATTCATAAGGAGGGAGTTCCCCTCCGTCCTATAGTGTCATTTAAGAGCACCCCCACCTCGGGCTTGGCCAAGTGGCTAAGCAATCGTATTGGCCACTTGGTCAAGGACAATCCTACCACCGTCAAGTCAGCGGAAGAATTCCTCAATAGTATTAGAACCCTGAGGGTGGAGGATGATGAGGTGATGGTGTCCTTTGACGTCATCTCCCTCTTCACCTCCATCCCTCAGGACCTGGCCATTACAGTGGTTAGGGACCTCCTTTATTATAAAGGCACAGGATCCCAACAGGATTCTCTCCACCCTGAGGATATTAGAGATCTATTGAGACTGTGCCTCAAGACGTACTTCACGTTTCAGAACACCACTTACGAGCAGGTTAAGGGTACCCCTATGGGATCACCGATCTCGAGCTTTATAGCAGAAGCCGTGCTACAGCAATTAGAATGCATAGCGATGGCCCGGTGCTGTCCCAAGTTCTGGGCCCGCTATGTAGACAATACCTTTGCTATTATCAAAAAGAGTCAAAAAGCTGATTTTGTGGGCATACTCAACTCAGTGTATGTCGATATCCAGTTCACTGAGGAGGTGGAGCACCAGGGAAAACTGGCATTTTTAGATGTGTTGGTGCATCATCAGCCAGATGGAACCCTGGAGACACAAGTTTATCGCAAACCCACCCATACAGACAGGATTCTACACCAACACAGCAACCATCCAGTAGCCCACAAAATCAGCTGCATTAGAACATTGTTCAAAAGAATAGACTCTCATTGCAGCACGGCCAGGGCTAGAGCAGAAGAGAGAAGTTATTTAATTCGGGTTTGTAAAAACAATGGCTATTTCATGAGGTTTATCAAACGCCATGGCATCCTATCCAGACTTCCCGGTGGCTCACAAACACCTACGAAAACAATAGCACCCCAGACGACTCGCATCACCCTGCCATATATTAGTAATGTCTCGGAGGCCACCGCTAGACTGCTGGCGCCCTATAACGTAAGGGTGGCACATAGGCCCAGCCGGACGTTACGGTCGGACATCATGAAACCAAAAGACCCTCTCCCCACTTCAGAGAAATCGGGTTATTTATAGAATTAGATGCAGAGACTGCGTCTGTAGTTATGTGGGTGAGACTTCTAAAAGGGTCAAAACACGAGTCCATGAACACAAACTGGCCATAAAGAGAGGAGAGCAGTACTCTCAAATATTAGCGCATATGGCAGAAACTGGACATAGATTTGATTTCAATGACGTAAGGGTGATTGCCAGCGACAGTACAAGGAGTGGTAGACTACTAAAAGAGGCTTGGTTCTTGGACGATAAATCTACATATAAATCGACATATAGAGCTGTGCCCCGCACATCTAGCGCTGAGAGCATGGGAGAGAAAAACCAAACTGCCACGAAGGGAACGACCCAATGATATGGTCCATCAATGGGAAGGAGAAATTGAGGAGAGAGAGACCCCCCATCTGTCACGTACAACTGACAATCATGAGAATAATGGACAACGACTTAGAAACCTGCACGCTGCATGGGTAGATAGGCGCTCTCCACACACCAAGGAGTCTACCATCAGTGAGCAAACTATCGGCACTAAAAAGCCAGTTCACGATGACAAGGGCTCCTTAAGCCATATGGGGAGTACAGAAGAGATATTGTTACCATCACACGCCGACGCACGAGGAGATTACCACCGGAAAGAACTGCCATATGGAGTGAGTAACATCTTTCATGTCTCGAACTCTCCATACCCCCCGATGCACTGTACACAATTAGGAAGAACCCCACATGTCTTAGAGGACACATGCAAAGAGAGCAAATACAACTGCCCCACCTCTGGAGTGTGCATGGGTTTTCAAGACGCCATGCCAAAGGCCCACGTAAAAAAAAAACGATCTATGGAGGAATGCTTGGACTGGAGAAGGACTACAGCCACCCCACTCCCGAGACAACTGTATATCCTCATGGCATGACATCTAGGACCGCTGTGGAAAGAAGAATGATCGGCGGGGAAGCGACTACATCAAAGAACGACTGCAGCCACCCCCTTTGGGGAACGATCACACGCTCCCGCAGTGCAGCGCTTAAGACTAATACGGAAGGAAGAGCGACCGATGGAGGAGAGCCTATAGCGAAGAATGATAATAATCATCCTGCCCCGGGAGCGATCACACGCTCCCGAAGCATAGCACTAAGACCCAGTACAGAGGGAGGAAAGACCGATGGAAGAACAATCGGACAGAGCTCCAAACAGAGCTCCAAAGAGGGGGAGGGCAAACGAAGCGCAGTCATTGAAACTATGGGGGAGGAGAAAAGACAAAACGCAGTACGTCACAGCAGAGAGAATGATAGTAATAGATACGGGCATGGAGCGAGTGGGGGGAAAGAGAAGGAAAGTGTAGATATGAAATATAAGAATAGAATGGGAGAGCAG